CTGTAGCTCAGGCAATCTACCACCTTGGCCTCCCAGTGTGCTGGGATTTCAGGCGTGAGCCACTGAATGTGGCCCAGTAGCTTTATTTGTAATAGTCTAAACCTGGAAGCAACCTAAATATCCCTCAAAGAGGTGGCTGGTTAAACCAACCTGGGGTTCATTCATAGCATGTGTAGTGAGTTAAATGGGGACCCTTCCAAAACGCATGTCCACATCCTAACTCCTGACTTATGAGTGTAACTTTATTTATTTATTTATTTATTTGAGACAGAACCTCGAGCTGTCACCCTGGGTAGAGTGCTGTGGCATCACAGCTCACAGCAACCTCCAACTCCTGGGCTGAAGCAATTCTCCTGCCTCTGCCTCCCAAGTAGCTGGGACTACAGGTGCCTGCCATGACGCCCAGCTATTTTTTGGTGGCAGCCGTCACTGTTGTTTGGTGGGCCCTGGGCTGGATTCTAACCCACTAGCTCCGGTGTATGTGGCTGGCGCCTTAGAGTGTAATCTTATTTTGAAAAAGGGGTCTTTATAGATGTTGGTGGCTTTTTTTTGTCTTATTTTATTTTAGTTTTGTTTTATGAGATGGGAGGAGTGTCTTACTGGTTTTCCAGGTTGGTTTTGAACTCCTGACCTCAAGGGATCCTCCTGCCTCCATCTCCTGAGTAGCTGGGCCTAATAGGCCCACAACACTACACATGGCTCACAGATGTAACTAAATTAAGGATCTCAAGGTGAGGTCATCATTGATTATCTGAGTGGGCACTAAATCCAAGGACAAGTGTCCTAAGAGACAGAAGGGGAGACAACTCAAACACAATGGAGAAGGCCATGTTAAGAGGAAGGTGGTGACTGGAGTTACACTCCTACAAGCCAAGGAACGGCTGCAGCCAACAGAAGCCGGAATAGGCAAAGAAGCAGCATTCTCCCCTGGGGGTCTCAGAGGCAGCGGGGCCCTGCTGACACCCTGACTTCAGACTTCTCACCTCCAGAACTGTAAAAGAATAAATATTGTTTTAAACCAATAAGTTTGTGGTCATTTTTTTTTTTTTGAGACAAAGCCTCAAGCTATCCCCCTGGGTAAAGGGCCATGGCATCATGCTCACAGCAACCTCCAACTCCTGGGCTCAAGCGAGTCTCCTGCCTCAGCCTCCCAAGTAGCTGGAACTACAGGCGCCAGCCACAACGCCTGGCCATTTTTGGGTTGCAGCCATCATTGTTGTTTGGTGGGCCCGGGCTGGGGATTCAAACCCCCCACCTTAGGTGTACGTGGCTGGCGCCTTAGCCACTTGAGCCACAGGCACCAAGCCAAGTTTGTGGTCATTTGTGAAGGCAACTCTAGGAAACAAATATATCACGGGAAATAAAAAGAAGCAATCTTTTTTTTTTTTTTGAGACAGAGCCTCAAGCTGTCCCCCTGGGTAGAGTGCCATGGCATTACAGCTCACAGCAACCTCCAACTCCTGGGCTCAAGCGAGTCTCCTGCCTCCACCTCCCAAGTAGCTGGGACCACAGGTGCCCGCCACAACGCCCGGCTATTTTTTGGTTGCAGCCCTCATTATTGTTTGGCGGGTCTGGGTTGGGGATTCGAACCCGCCACCTTAGGTGTACGTGGCTGGCGCCTTAGCTGGTTGAGCTATAGGTGCCAAGCCAAAAGAAGCAATCTTGATACAGCAACAACTTCGCTGGATCTCAAGGACTGAGTGCAAAAATCCATCTCACAAGTTCACATCCTGTATAATTCCGCTTACAGAAGAGTCTCAGAAAGACAAAATTATAAAGAGGGAAAGGGTTAGGGATAGGGGATAACTATTTAGGAGCAGGCGGAGGGAGACCCTTGCAATGGTATATCTTGATTGTGATGGTGATTACAGGAATCTAAGCATGTGATAAAATGACAGAGACTATTTATTCACATTGTACCAGTGTGAATTTCCTACTTTTGATATTGTGCTATAATCATGCAAGATGTAACCATTACAGAAAGCTAGATGAAGGATACGTGGGACCTTTCTGTACTATCTTTGCAATTTCCTATGAGTTTATCATTATTTCAAAATGAAAGTTTTAAAAAGTAAGGGAATTTTTATTTTTACTTTATTTTAATTTCATTTAATTTAATTTCATTTCATTTTTGAGACAGAGTCTCACTTCATCACTCTCCGTAGAGTGCTGTAGTGTCATAGATCACAGCAACCTCAAACTCTTGGGCTCAAGCAATTCTCTTGCCTCAGCCTCCCTAGTAGCTGAGACTACAGGTGCCTGCCACAATGCCCAGCTATTTTTAGACACAGTGTCTCAGCTGGTCTAGAACCTGTGAGCTCAGTCAATCTACCCGCCTTGGCCTCCCAGAGTGCTGATTATAAGCGTGAGCGACTGGGCCCAGGCATAAGGGAATTTTTTACAGCAATATCTATGTTCTATGTTATACAGGTGAATACAGCTCCTAAGACTCATCTAACCAGACCATTAACATGGGTAAATGTTACTACCTGTACCTTTTAATTAATTACTTAATTAATTCTTTTTTGTTGTTGTTGAGGCAGAGTCTCACTATGTCACCTTTTGTAGAGTGCAGTGGCATCACAGCTCAGGGCAACCTCAAACTCTTGGGTTTACGTAATTCTCTTGTCTCAGTCTCCCAAGTAGCTGGGACTACCGCCACTGGCCACAATGCCTGGCTATTTTTTGATTCTAGTTGTCATTGTTGTTTGACAGGGCCAGGGCTGGATTTGAATTTGCCAGCTCTGGTGTACATGGTTGGCGCCCTAGCCACTGAGCTATAGGCAACCAGCCTTTTTTTGAGACAAACTCTCACTTTGACCTTCTCACTAGAGTACGTGGTGTCATAGCTCACAGCAATCTCAAACTCTTGGGCTCAAGCAATTCTCTTGCCTCAGCCTCCCCCATAGCTGGGAAAATAGGAGCCTGCCATAATGCCTGGCTATTGTTATTTTTATTTTATTTATTTATTTATTTTGAGACAGAGCCTCAAGCTGTCACCCTGGGTAGAGTGCTGTGGCATCACAGCTCACAGCAACCTCCAACTCCTGGGCTCAAG